AACCCCTCTCTCTCTCAGTGCAGTGTTAATCTTGTTATGCAGTTAATCCTTTTATAGACCTGCGATTCTTGGGAGAAATGATGACGAAGGCCTGACAGGAGTCTGACATCCCTCTCTCTGTGCTGTGTCTCCCCCTGCAGTCCTAGGGAAACGCCGGCGTTCGTCCCTCAGCGTGTACCAGTCCAGCGAGGAGGAGGGGGAGGGGGCCCGGTCGTCCCCGGCGACGGGGGCCCCCCCCCCGGACGAGCAGGGCGGCTCGGTGAGGAAGCAGCCGCGCCGCTGCGCCAAGCAGCGCTCCTACTTCGACCTGCTGGACTCGGACGACTCCGAGGCCGACCTGCCGGCGAGCCACTCCTCCGCGTCCTCGCCCGGCCGCAGGCGGGCCAGCTCTCACCGCAGCGCAGGTGGGTCTCCAGGGGCGAGTCTCCCGGGGCTGTCCCGCGGCTGTCGGTGTCCCGAATGTCGCCTTACTGCTTCGGCTCGTGCGCGAGAGACTCCCCATTCTCACCCCCCCCCCTCTCCCTCCCGCCCCCTTTGTCCGAAAACAGATTTCATCCCCCTGGACGACATCCCGGACGATGACGAGCAGTCGGAGGACAGCGCGAAGCAGCGCCGGGCCGGCCAGAGGGGCCAGCCCAGCCGCCGGCGCTCCGACAAGGTAACCGTGCGCTCCGGGGGCGGGGGCTGCTGGGAGAGGGGGGTCACCTGCTCAGAAAGCACTCCAGGAGTTCCTAAAGATCCCGTTTTCTCTATCCCTGGATTGATCAGCGTTGACCCTTTAATAAGTTTAACCTGTAAGAACCTGTTCTGCCTTTTCTCCTGGCATGACGACACCTGTCCTGGGGGGCAGGGGGGACCCACAGTTCTCACTCTCCACCTGGCGCCGGGGTATTCTGTCATACAGCCGCCCAGCGCCGGGGCTTTCATGACCAGATTGAAGAAGAGGGTTGTGTTGGTTTGGGGAGCCGTGAGCAAAGCAACCCCTCACCTGTGACTCTTGCCTTTTTGTGGGATTGTGAAATGATACACTTCTCTTCCCTTCTTTGAAACTAGCATTGCAAACCTGTTGGAGACCCCTGGAGAGTTTCTGAGTGGGTGGATGTAGCACTCTTTGGTCGAGACACTCTGTGCATCGTGCACCGTACTGACTCACTAACACACAGGGTCGAGAGCTAGTGGCATGTGGCTCAGAACTGTGCTCCTGTTTCACAGTGTTGCTGGACTCATATCCCCCCAGAGGCAACTGGTCCAGTGGATCAGGTCTAGTTCGGTTTGACTAGAAGAACACTGATTGAGACAGAAGTATTATTATAGGAAACGTTATACGACCTGCCTGCGTGTTACTCTGACTGTAGATGGCGGGGCTGAGTGGGAGTACTGTGACTGGTTGATACAGGAGCACTGGTTCTGTGCTCATCAGTGACTGTGCCTCGGGGATGGAGGGAACTGGCTGATACCATTGAGCTCATCGACGACAGCCTGGATGGAGAACACTGTGTAGTCTTTCCTGAAGACTGTTATTTCTTCAGATATCAAGGCTCTGCGGAAAAGACCTTCAAATGCCCGACATCCGCCTGTGGTAGTAAAGATGTCGGCTGTAGCCCCTGTGAAGCTCTTTGTCCAGAGCCCGCCGGAGAGCCGTTGTTCGGCGGCCCGGTCGCGCCCCATGGTTTTCTTGTCTTCCTGCGACTCCAGCGATTGGTCTGACGATCGAGCCCGGAGGCCGTCGTCTCGAGTCGGATCCCCTCCATCCCTGATCCGGCCGTCTGACTCATTAACCTGACTCTTTCCTTGCATGGACAGGTGCGCACACCTGTGTGTGTGTGGGGGTTCAGTGTTCGGGGGGGCCCCCCTGCTCACCCGCCCTGTGTGTGGCACGCCTGGCTCTGCTTCGCTTTCTCTCACTCTTCAGCTTCCTTCGCTCCTGGGTCTGATCTCTGCGCTGCTTCCTGTCTTCCTGTTTGTTTTGGTTGTTGCTGTGAGCGGCTTTGCTGTGTAACGCCCCTGCTTTGCTTTCGCTTTAACAGTCCATCCCGCAGGCACCTCGGCTAGGACAGCAGCAGCAGGGGAAGGAGCAGCAGCTGGCTCTGCTGCAGGAGCAGTGCCCGCAAACAGAGCGGGATGCGCAGTCAGAGCAGGAGTCTGCGCAGACAGGGCGGTCGTCTGCGCAGGCCGCGCAGGAGGCTGGGCCGCTGGAAGATGGCCAGCAGACCGAGCCCGAACCCGAGGAGCGGGAGGTGGAGGGAGGTGACAAGGTGGCTAAAGCATCACAGGAGTGCGTGGGGGTGGTGGCAGAGGAGGCGGCGCAGGGTAGCTCTAGGCCTGACGCCCGCTGTCTCCCTCTCCCCCAGAGCCCCCTGGAGCAGACCCCACCCAGTGTGCTGGCAGCTCTGGCCAACGGGTTTGCCCAGAGGGAGAAAGAGCCCTCCGAGCCCTCGCACAAGATCCGCGTCGACTTCAAGGTCAGCCTCTTCCTGTCCCGTCTGCTGTCCGTCTCTCTCTCTCTCTCCCGGCCCGTTTCCTGGTCTCTGGCGTCCATCGGCCCGTCGGATCTGGTTTCTCCCACACGCTGGGGGCTGGAAAATTGCACAGGTTTCGACCTGTGTGTTCTGGCTTATCGCCGGAACTGTAGTAATAGCTGCGGAGGTGAGGTGAACCCAGGTGTGAGGCTGGGCAGGCAGGCAGATATCGGTAACAAGCGGGATCCAGGCCGGGGTCAGGAAACAGACCGAGCTTGTAGCCAGCCGGGGGCATAAGCACACAGGGAGAGTGTTGCCAGAGCACAAACTCGGATCCAAAGCCAGAACAATCACTAAACTGAGCACAGAGAAAATTCAGAGCCAAGTCAGAATATCTGCCCAGGCTGTGACAGGAGCCTGCGTCAGTTCGTCTGATCTCCTGCACCGCCCAAAGCCCCTGCCTTGCTTCTGTCCAAGACGACGTGATGATTGTTAATCGTTAATCCATCCCCAGGCCCGCTCCATACCGAGACGGTGCCGGAGAGGTTCTAAGGGCGTTCTGTGGACCTCTGTGTTCATGGTACAACAGTGGCACGAGGGGCGTTTGTGTGCCTATCTTTCCTGACTGTCCGTCCATTTTCGCAGCCCAGCCGTCCCCCCCTCTCGGTCTCTCGGCCCGGTTCACCGGCTCGTCTGTGTGTCCGAGCCGCCGGCTCGCTCCCCTCTCCCTGCGTGTGGGGGGGGGGTGCGTGTGTGTACCCAGGAATCCTAATGCTGGGGTGCCCGCCTCTCCTCTGCCCACAGGAGGACTGTAACATCAGGAACGTGTGGCTGATGGGAGGGCTCAGCATCCTCACCTCGGTTCCCATCATCCCTCAGTACGTCTGCCTGCTGTGTGCCAGCAAGGGCCAGCATGAGGTAATCCCCCCGGCCTCCGACCCCATTCTGCCGGCTCTGCTACCGGACCCCTGTTCGGGGCCGTGGTCCCGCTGCGTGTGAAACTAAACCCGGTTAATCCACATGTCGCTAAACCACGGCACGGCGTGTTTTATATCGAATCGTATAACAGTGTGTAAAATACAGAGTCTGGCTTGTGTGTTAACTCCACACGGTCTACTGTATACGCACGTCGTGTTTTGTTTTTCGGTGCTGTCTTGTCGCCAATCTCATTGTGCGTGCTCTCCGTTCGCCCTGCCCCCCCCCTCCAGATGTTGTACTGCCAGGTGTGCTGTGAGCCCTTCCACCGCTTCTGCCTGGAGCCCGGAGAGCGCCCCCTGCAGGAGAACAAGGAGAACTGGTGCTGTCGCCGCTGCAAGTTCTGCCATGTGTGTGGGAGGAAGAACAAGCACTCCAAGGTGGGGATTTGTCGTTTGTTCGTGAGGGGGTCCGGCCCGAGAGAGTCCTGTCCTAGGGGGGAGGGTGGCGAAGATCTTCAGTAACTAGAGAGAGAGGGTTCTGTGGGGACGTGACAGCTCTGCGGTGGCTGACCGTGAGCTCGTGGTGTCCTCTTTCCGGTCACCGTGAACAAAGCGGATTCTGTTTCTGGTTTTGAGCGGTCAGGTGCCGGTGGCAGTGCCCGTGATTACGGAGGCAGAAGAAATGAAAGGCACGCGGCAGTTTATTTCAAAAGAGAGTGCGACCTGCTAAGCTCCTGAAAGGTCGATGAAGTGCTAAGCCGGAAGTGGGAAGAGTGTTGGTACTGGAATGAAAGGGTGTCTGATGTCGCGCTGAGCTCCGGCCCGCTGCTCTCTCTCAGCTGCCGGGCCGTGTCCGTGTCCCTGCGGGGTCGAGTGGCTGATGCCGCTGCCGGTCTGAGGCGGGACGCGCCGGTCGGGTGGTCCTGCTGCTCGGGGAGGGGCGAGCGAGAGGGGTAGAGGTGTGTCATCACGATGCTTTCCGCCTCTCCGCAGCCCCTGCTGGAGTGCGAGCGCTGCCAAAACTGCTACCACCCTTCCTGTCTGGGACCCAACTATCCCAAACCCAACAAGCGCAAGAAGTCCTGGGTGAGTACAGCACAGGCGCTGCCGAGCCTGGGAGCAGCGCCCCTGGTGGGGGGGGGAGAGGCTGTGAGCTGGCGAGCGATGTCAGGGCTGCTTACCCATTGACCCCATCCTCCCAAAATTCAACCCTTTACCCCCTCATGGTGCAGCTTTCCCACTTGGCCATCAGCCTCGGTCTCATCAACAACCGGCAAATTCCTCTGTGCAGGGAAAGCTGGAACACGTCTAGGGCAGGAGCTTTCTGCCCGGCAGTAAAGGTCTTCGGTTTTACACGTGTTCGCCTCTACAGTGCCACAGGCCTCAGTCAAGCCCTTGCCTTTTCCTTCACCTGTCGCCCCAGGTGTGCATGACCTGCATCCGCTGCAAGAGCTGTGGCGTGACGCCGGGGAAGAGCTGGGATACAGAGTGGAACCACGAGAAGAGCCTGTGTCCCGACTGCACCAAGCTCTACGACCAGGGTAGGGGCGGCAGAGGGAGCTGGGACTCTGCCGGAGGGCGGAGATGTGTGCGCACACCAGTCACATGTCACACAGACCCCTGGGAGCGCTACTTTCACACCCCGCGCCTGGAAGGCCAGCCAGCCATGCGTTGCCGGAGTCTATCCCAGCAAGCAGCGGGTGCCAGGCAGGGTACACCCCGGGTGGGACGCCAGTTCCTTTGCAGGGCACACACACCCGGGAGGGAACTGGAGCACCCGGAGAAAACGCATGCAAACACAAGGAGAACATAAACAGTAAATTCCACGCAGACGGCACCCCAGGAATTGAACCCAGGGCCTCAGAGCTGTGAGGCAGCAATGCTGACCCCTGTGCTACCATGCCACCCCTCTCTTCTACCAGTACGCTCAAATTCCTTGTGCCCTCAAGCATTGACCACAAAAAAATCTGAATGTTTTTCTTGCACCTGCAACAGTAGTTGTTTGCTCACCTTAGCAGACCTACCCTTTTTGTTCTTGCAGCGAGAGAGTTTCCTGCTATCGTGTTTTTATTCTTTTCCTTCCAAGGTAATTACTGTCCCATCTGCTTCAAGTGCTACGAGGACAACGACTACGACAGTCAGATGATGCAGTGTGTCAAGTGTAACCACTGGGTCCATGCCAAGTGTGAGGGGCTCTCAGGTGAGTCACCTGAACCTTAGCTTGGTTCTGAACATTGTGGGAGGCTAAAATCTGTAAAAATAGCAAATGGACTCCAAGTCAAATCCAAGTTTTGGGAGATTTTGTGTTTTCAGTCACTCTCTCACCACTGTGCGGTCAGCAGGTCGTTAACTGGTGAGCTGACCTGATTGAATTCAGCGCCTTCGATTTGTATCAGTACGCCCTTGTAACTAACACCAGGAAAACCTCCTCCCTCTCCCGCGGCAGACGAGCTGTATGAGATTCTGTCCAGCCTGCCGGAGAGCGTCGTGTACTCTTGCGCCCCCTGTGGCCAGTCCCAGCCCAGCCTGTGGAAGGAGCTGCTGAACGCTGAGCTGCAGGCCGGGATAGAGAAGGTGCTGGCCTGCCTGCTTACCTCCACGCTCACCGGCCACCTGGTGCACTGCGAAGAGGTGAGAGAAGAGCACAGGGGACAGAGGGGGAGTCGGCAGGAGAGCCTCAGCCAGCTGATAACCCCGCCGAGCGGCTGGTCGGCCCACGTTGCTCTGTCTGTAGATTGTAGCTGATTGCTCTGAGGGTCTCGTCCAGCTGCTATATATAGTGCAGTCCATACGTATTTGGACTGTGACACAATTTTTGCTGTTTTGGCTCTGTACTCCACCACATTGGATTTGAAATAAAACAAAGGAACCATCAGGTTAAAGTGCAGAATGTCAGCTTTCATTCGAGGGTATTGACGTCTGTATTGGGTGAACCATATAGGAATTGCAGCCCTTTTTATACATCGTCCCCCCATTTCAGGGGACCAAAAGTAATTCACTGCAACGCAGTAAGAAATGGGAGAAAACATGAAGAGGAGCCGGTGGTGTTATTGGTCTTTAAAAGTTTTTCTTGACAAGTATTTCGTTGAAAGATCTTTAATTTGTTATTTTTAGAACTTTTGTTTCTCGGGTTATCGTCGCCGTCGCCCATTATGAGTCGGGTCTTGGGGATCCGGGGTGAGACGGGGGGCTGTGGTGCCGGGCGGTGGAGTGGCCTGGGCGTGTGCTGAAACGGTCCCGCTGGCTGGGCCTTGCGGCGTCGGCTGACGGCTCTTGTCTCCCCGCAGTGCCAGGTGCTGACGGACGGCGCCAGCGGCGGCGCGGAGGGCGGCGCCATCTGTGACCTGAGGGCTGTGGGCAGGAAGTTCGACAGCGGCCTCTACACCACGCTGGTGAGACCCTTCCCTCACCCTCACCCATCCTTGCTCTCCCTCTCTCCCCACTACCTAAAGCTCTTCCAAGACAAGTTGGTTTGCATTACAGCTCACGAGCCTCAGAAGAAGGCTGTCGCTGGCTCGTCTGTTCTTACATGTCAGGTGCAGGGTTGCTTCTGTTTTGCTGAGGGGCAAACGTGTCTTAAAAGTGGAAGTGTTTCCTAGCCAGGCCTTGTCTGGCTTTTGTTTTTGAATTGAGCCGAGTTGAGAATCTCGCTGTTGCAAAAGCAGACCCTTTAGAAACCAGTCTCCCCTCTCTTCAGAAATCATTCCATGAGGACGTGGTTCAGGTGATCCGGGGGAGGATGGAGGAGGAGAGCAGTCTTCCCGAGGAGAAGCGACCCACCTCCGTCGCCCGATCCTACTACCTGACGGTGAGGGTGCTCTTGTCGCGGTGGGGGGGGGCATTTTTTCTCCGGCCGTTTTGAAGGCCTCCGGAGCTGTTTTTCCGAAAAGGACGTTTTAAGCGGGTTTGCAAAGGTGTGATCCGACCCGTCCGCAAAATGACCTTTAACCCCTGCGGCCCTCCTGCTCCTCCTCTTCTGAAAGTCCTCCCTCTGGGCTCTGGCCCTGCGCTCTCTGTGCGCGCCGTGGGTCGGGGGCTGAGCCTCGCAGTGTGGCTCTCGGGTGGCGCGGGTTCGGGCTTGCGGTGATGTCCGTCGTCGGGGAAACTGCTCAGGCAGGTTACCTGGTCATGGCTCGCGCGGGGGGGTGTAGGAGGAGCACGCCTGCTCACGCTGTCATGTGGGTTTCTCTTGGGCCCCTGCTTGATGTGCCTGTTCGGGTCAAGGCCTTTCGGCTGAGTCGTTCCTGTTATTTTTTCGCTTCGAAGGAGGAGAGCCCTGTGTTGCCCCACACAGCGGGAGCGTCCTGCCACATCGTCCTTTGCCAAGACAGGCGATCGGTTTCACAGCGACCAAAAAAGAAAAAAAACAAGATTTCTTTAATCTGAAACAGGGCTTTTCAATTTGCAGCAATCACGAAAGGGAACTTGAGAAAGAGAAGGTTTGTCTGAATGTCTGAGCGGGGGGCCTTGGTGTACAGAAGGTGCTGATTAAAGACGGGGGGTTGTGGCTGGGGCACCCCGGAGATATTTCCTCCCTTCGTGCGTCTTCCGCTCGCGCCTCGCCGTGGTTACCGCGCCCTTTGATGATGCGGCCGGGGACCTTTCGAGGTTTCGCTCCGCAGATGACTCGGCGTCGGCGCTCGCCTGGCTTTGTGAAACCCTTGTTCGCGGGCCGGGGCGGGGCGGGTCCCCAGTGAATTCCCGGCGGGCAGCTGCGTCGAGAGCGGTGCCGCGCTGTGGAGCGGGGGGTTCTGGGACTGCAAGGCGGCAGTCGAAGGCTCCAAGACCAGATTTACTGCGCTGATGTGTCGCGGGGGCTGCTTGGCTGCTTCGACAGGAAGGAGTTTTTTCTTACGGCACGCGGGAGATGGGAGGCTCTCTCGAGCCGTCATTGCCGCAGACTTGAAATTGTGGGAGTCGCCTTACTGGGATACCCCCTCCCTAACCCCCCCCAGCTTATGAGCTCCGCAGTTGTGGTCGTCTGGAGATAACCACTTGGCGCTTAGTCATCTTCTTCACTCGACGGGCCACTGGAAGAGGGGGCGCATGTGTGCTCGGGCGCTGTGTTCTCAGGGCGGTGGTGGTGCTCCGACACCCACAAGTCAGTCTTTTTTTTTGTTTCCTCTTCTCTCCCGCAGTTGCTGGGGAAGATCTTCAGCTGGTTCAATGGCCAGGACACCAAACTGTGGGATCCGCGTTCCAAAGAGTTCCCCACGTAAGTGCAGACCCCTCCCCAAAGAAATCATCATCATCATCATCATCATCACCACCACCATCACCACACCCTCACGTCCTGTCGGGCGGTCGCAGTGGGGCTGATGTTGCAGTCCAGTCAGCCGTGCCCAGCAGCTGCTGGGCGAGACCTGCAGGCAGCTTGAATGTGACCAGCCTTCACTGTCGGAGGGCCTTGCACACACTGTACGATGCTGTAATGGTGCAACAGAATGAGGAAGTATATTTTGGACAAAGTTTTGAGAAGTGTCTATCCAAGTATGACCCTATGTGCTGTAGTTTGTAGGCTCCTCTGCCCTGTTCTGATGAGGAAGCTACATCCCTAGGCAAGTGCAGGAGCAGAGAGGAGCGGGGTTTCTGAGGGGTGAGGCTCAGCCTTGAGTGAGGCGCTTGCCTCTCAGGATATAAAAGGGCTTTTTCGCAGGCTAGGGGGCTCCACAGCTGAGGACAGGTTTAACTGTTAATGACCTTAGGAGAAACTGATAGCTTATCCAGAGCCTAAGAGTGGGAAACTATTGTGAGTCCAGTTGTCCTGTGCTTGAAGGAAAGATGCAGGTGAGAGATCCCAGCCAGAGGTGATACAGCAGCCCTGAACTGTCACAACTCCTAATCCTTTATAGCTCTTTCCCCCACAGAGAGAGCAGACACGCCAGTGTTCGCGATAACCCAAGTCCTAGAGTGTGTTGTGACAGACATTCTCAGGAATGCACAAGGACCTGTCAACCTCCTACTTCTCCATAATTATCTTTTGGACGGCTCAGTGCTGGTATTAAAGACGATGAATGCTAGGCCTGCTTTTCATTCGAGGCAGGAGTTAAAGCAGGGCAGGTTTACCTGCCTTTGCACAAACCAAGGTCCTTGTAAATTCCTTAAGATATTTAAGGAGTTGAACCGGAACTCCCCCCCGCCCCCCCACACCGCCTGTTGGAACAGACATGGTTTTGAAACCTTTTTCACAACATTGACTGTTGCGATGGCTTACGAAAGATGGAAATTTTGAAACCAATAAGCTGTGTCTTATCGGTTCCTCTTTTATTTTCTTGGACTCTTCTGCGTCTTAATGGGCTGTGAACCCACAGGAGGTGATTTTCGCAGATGTGGTGTGTGGTAAATTGGTGGTGGGGGAGTTATTTTTCTCCGATTTCTTCAGCGGTGGTGAATGCCCTCCCTCTGTTGGTGTCCTGAAATTCCCGTCAACACCACGGGTGTTCCCGTCAACATCCTGGTGGTATAATCGAGGCCATGTTTTCCTTAAAGGACGTTTAGTTTTTGTGGATCTCCAGGTACCCGTAAAAGTGTCTTTGTTAGCCTGAAATTAGTCTGCAGTCTGAGCTGAAAACGGCTTTGATCTGAAACTGATCTGATGCAGCTCCTCTGAACACGCATCCCATCATTCAGAGTGTGGTGAAGTGCGGTCTTGGCACAGATGATTCTCACTCTGCCCCAGATCTTATTTACTTAAGTGAAGCTATTAACTGTCTTGAGCAGCTTCTGATGGAATAGTTCCTGGAGATTTTGGAATAATCATCCCTTCCCATGGAAGGCTGTACCAAGCCATCCTTGATGATTTCAGTTTTGGCAACTACAGCACTGCTGTGACTTCTCTGGTAATGTGCTTTTGGCCGCTGTTTCCCAGTCGGAAAGCTTGAAAGTCTTCCGTTTGTGGAATAAGGCAAGCTTCTTCTCACTTAACCACATGGTTTGTCCATTCCCGGTCCTGAATTTCTTTTAAAACCAACTCAACTCTTAGCTCCTAACAAGCTGAATTGGCTAATTATTGGCAGAAGTGGACTGACTTAAAGGGGCGGCACCTGAAGGGTAGAGGGAAAGCTGTGAAAGATCCCAGGAAAACCTGCCACAATCGCAGGCCCTCCGGGACGTATACCTCTGATAAAACGCCCCAGGCCTGAGGGCTCTGCCTCAGGCACAGTGTGCCAATACCAGAGTCCACACGATAAAGGAAGACCCAGGCTGGGTTTCTGCGTACTGATGGCTGATTGTGTGTGTGTGTTTGGCACCGTTTTTCCGCCTGCAGATAGGTGACGTTGTTGCCGGTTTTCTGGGAATAAGGAGGCCTGTATCCTGAAGACTGAGGACGTTTCCTCATCTGCCTGCTAACATCATCTGGCCTCCCCTCATCTGATTTTACGAAAAAGATCTGTTGCTGACATTCAAGCGCATCCAAGTGTTCTATTTAGTTGTTGCGTGGGAGGTGTGGGAATGGGATTTTGTGTTCCGTCTTTGAGCCGTCGGAGACAGACGGTGTTTCCCTTTCGAGTTACCGTTGGCTGGCCCTGGACTGTTTTCTCCTCTCGCATCATTTTTTCATGGTTCGTCGGGGCTCCCGGAGGTAGATTTCTGAGAAACTTGCAACAACACAGAGCCGGCCAGAGTGTCGTCTGCTTTGCATTCCTTTGCATTACAAAAAAAGAAAGATCAGGGAACTTCCTGAGCTTTAGCCTGCCGATACTGCCGAGGTTAACCACAGTGTTTACATTTGAAGTGTCATGTGTGTGTGAGGTGATGGCATTGTTCATTTCCTGTTCTTTCTGCTTTCAAATTTCATTGTAGGCCTTGGCTGCAGTGTTGTTTTTCTGAAAAGTTTGTACTGCACAGACTTGGTACATTTCAGGGTACTCTTTTAATAAAGCTTGTTTTACTTTTGGGACTGTTCTACATCTGCCACCCTTAGTCAAGGAAAGGTCCAGTTATCAATCACTCACTTCAGTTCCTATATAGTGCCTTTCAATCCAGAACGTGCTTAAGTCACTTGAAATAATTATACACATAATGTTGAGCAAACAGGAAATTGAATAAAAACCATGTGTAAAGATGAAATAGACTCTGCATTAAAGGCCATGGAAAACAAGTCTAAAGGGGAGATGTGAAAAGAACAGGTTATAGGAAGTCAGGAAGGGAGTCCAGAGATGAAGAGGCTGGGCCCCCTGATGTAGGATGTGAAGAGCTCAGATCCAGGGGCACACAGTGAGTGTATCGGGACAGGAGCTCCTGTAGGCACGCAGGAGGCAGGCTGTGCAACACCTGATAGCCCAACTAGAGAATTTAAAGAGACCGGGAGACGACGCTGGCTTTTCAGCACAGGACAAATATGTTTGGAATTTTTAAACTTAGCCAGTGAAGTAGACCACACCAGCACATGTTCAAGGTCATAGTGTTAAGATGTAAGTGTGGTTGAGTTACTGGAATATGGATCAGTCACCCAGCTGCCTCAAGGTCTGTTAAAGTATAATAAGAACAGACTTTGTAAAAAAAAAAAAACAAGTGGAAGAGTAATCAACAGGGTGAAAACCACCAGAGCATGAAACTAACCAAACTGTTACAGGCTGCACTGAGGCTGTTCTGCATGAAAAGGATCAGAAAACGTTTTCCAAGGTTCTCGGTACGGGATGTGAAAGCAGTCAGGGCTGCTGCTTGTTGAACTGGGGTTTCTGTTCATTTCTACCTGTTTCTCTCTCTCTCTCTCTCTCCGGCCCTGTCCTCACGCTCTCCGGCCCCTCAGCGGGATGCTCCCGAACGCAGTCCTGCCCCCCTCCACCGAGCACGTCTACGCCCAGTGGCGCGAGCGCGAGGACTGGTGCGGCGCCGCCGGCCTGCGGCGGAGCGAAGCCCAGTTAGAGATCAAGCCCGAGGAGGAAGGGATGCAGATCCCCACCCCGACCAGCAGGAGGCCCCATCCCCGGACCAACACCAGAACCCACCGCCTCAAGGCCAAAGGTGCAGCAAAGCGCAGGGAAGAGAGAAGCAGAGGGAGTAAAACGTGGTGGCTCTGCCGATGAATCTGCATCTTTAAGTCGATATTTTAACAGTTATTAGCGTGACTGTCCAATGGGGTCACTGTCACTGCGGTCGAAATACCAGCATTATTTTTGCAGCTCGCTTCCTGTTGTTTTAAATAAGAGGATGTCAGAGGGCAGTGCGCCGTCTCTATTTATCGGTTTCCCAGAAGTAGGAGTTGAGGTTTGATAAAGCGAACCGAGAAACAGATAACGTCTATCTGGGGGGAGGGGGGGTGATTCACAGGCCGCTGTGATAAGAGATCCCGCCTCTCGCCTGGTGGGAAGATGTGCAGTGGCGAGGGTTGAGCTCTGTAAGGGGCTGGTTCTGGGGGCTCAGGACCCATGTGCTGCTGTTGCAGGGAAGCGGAGCCGCCCGTCCGGGGCCGACGTGGACACCGGCTGGTCCAAGGAGGACGAGAGACAGTGCGCCTTGTGCCAGAAATACGGAGACACCAAGTCCAACGTGAGTCCCGCCCCGGGCCGAGGCCGTCTTGCGTACTGCGTCATCGTATTTACGCCTGCGTATAGGTGACGTTGTTGCCGGTTCACTGGGAAAAAAGCAGGGCTGTGTCCTGAAGACTGAGGACATTTCCTCCTCTGCCTGCTAACGGGGATTGCGATCCGGTCTCCCCTCATCTGATTTTCCCGAAAAAATCAAGTGCTTCAAGCGGGTCTCTGTCTGCCTGCGCTCGCCAGGCTGAAGTAGTTGCCCAAATATCCATTTGCCCCCTTTCCCTGTGCTGTACGGAGAGGCACAAGCTGCTCGGACAGGCCGGGCCGAGCTGTCCTCCGCGTGGACTTCGCCTTGTTGGGTGGGCGGGTGGAAGTCAGTCTCCATCTCAAGCCAAGTGAGGCAGGGTGGCGTCGTTCTGGTATTTTGGCCCGTTGTGGTCATCGACGCCCCTCGCTTGAGGGCTGAGGTCATCCGAGATTGAACAGAACCTGATCCAGCTTGTGAGACACTCTGAAAAGCACTGGTTTTCATAAAGACCACCTAATCCAAACAGTGGTATATTTCTCACACCCACTGCCTGCAGCATGTTCTCTCTTTATTGCCTACATGTGCGAAACATGGAGCTTATATTGCCCATCATGCCCCAGGGCACATAAGACATCCCTCTGGGCATGAAGTAATACAGGCTTTGTGCCCTAGGCAGACTGAAGTTTTGGCCTTTCCCAGAAGAAAGTATTGTTTGAGACCACAGCTTTTAAAGATGTTATTTCGAAAGATTAAGTTAAAGTAACATGATTTCCAGTGCTGTGGTGAACAAAAGTTTTTTTTTTTGTGATTGGATGTTTGTGTGAGAATGTAGCATTCATTAAGGTTTCACAGGCATACGTTTAACTTTATTAAATGGAAGTAAAACCGAATAGCGCGCATGAGGAGTCCCTGTGCTCCTGGCTTGGATGAGTGCAGTATTGCATTCCTCATGTCTGAGTTAGAACCGCACTGGCGGGGCATCTTGAAACATCTGGAGCTCTCTGTTCCCGATGGATGGCCTGATGTTCCCCAGCCCCTGACTGACCAGATCTGGACCAGCTGTTTAACTCTGTTTAACACTCAAACTAAAAACTGCTCACCGGAGACCAGGCCTTAAAGCACTGTACACATAACCAGTGACTGGGTGCCCGTCTTGAACTGGCGTTAAACGCATATGAATGCACAGGGCTGGAGACGAGAGGAAATCTCCCTGCTCAGTCCACAGGGCTCGCTGGGAAGCTCGTTGGCGAGCTCACACTGAGGCTCTCGTTCCATCTGATGGCTGTTTCTGAAGGAGACCGATTCTGGGGGAAGGAAAAGTCTGATACAGACCCGAACAGGTTGGGTTTCAGATCCCTGTTCCGGTGCGTCTTTGGACCGTGGAGGGAGCTTGTGGCTTGATCAGGCGCCGGTTGCCGTCGGTGCAGAGTCTTTGCTCCCTGACCCTGCTCTTCGCTGACGCCCTTCTCTCTCGCTCTCCATCCACTCGTCGTGTCCTCCTCAGGATGCGGGCAGGCTGCTGTACCTGGGTCAGAACGAGTGGGCCCATGTCAACTGCTCTCTGTGGTCGGCCGAGGTCTTCGAGGAAGAGAACGGCTCTCTGATGCACGTCCACAGCGCCGTGACCCGAGGGAGGCTCATGGTGAGAGAGGAGGAGTCCGCCGCCTGCTGCTGGATTGTTTTACTCTTATATAGTACAAATACCAAATTGCTCTTGGTGTTGAAAAATAACGTCCTCTTTCCTTTTCGCCCTCCTTTTCCTCTTCCTGCTTTTATTCTGCTCATCTTTTGTTCCCCCACCCCACCCCTCTGGCCTCTGTGCTCCTCCCCCTCTTTACTTGACCGCCTCCTCTCTTCTGACCCCGCCCCTCTAACCCCACCCCTCCATGCCACACCCCCCACCTGACCCCACCCCTTTACCCTGACCACGGCCTCTCTTCTGGCCCCGCCCCCTCCATGCCACACCCCATCTGACTCCGCCCCCTCTTTGCTTGACCACCTCCTCTCTCTTGGGCCCACCCCCCACTCTGCCAGCGCTGCGAGAGATGCAACCAGCCGGGGGCGACGGTGGGCTGCTGCCTGCCGTCCTGCCAGAGTAACTACCACTTCATGTGCGCTCGCTCCAACAACTGCGTCTTCCAGGAGGACAAGAAGGTCTACTGCCACAAGCACCGGGACCTGGTCAGCGGCAAGGTAGGGCGGGAGCGGGGGGAGTTACCGGTCCTGTTTGTCCGCGCCTGCTTCTCGAAGGGGCTCCTGCTCCCCAGAACCGCGGCGGACGACGAGGGGGGATCACTCGGTAGTCCCGGAGCTAAGCGAGTCTTGAAACTTCACCTGCCTGGTTGTTTAGGCTCGGGGGGCTGTTCCCTCGTCTCCATCCCACATCGGATTCCCTTTTAATTTTCCCTCTGTGGCGCCGTGTCCTTGTTTGGACACCCGCTCCCATCAGGATCGTCCGTACCTGGATCCGATCTCTTCTCTGTTTGTTGTGGAACACAGGAGACTGATTCAGTCCCTTTAACCTCTTTGTGACGTGATAGTGCCTTGTGCTCTTCTGTCAGTTCTGTCAGTGGCTGGAATATCCTTTCTGTTTTACCGCCTAAAGCCAAACGCTCTTCTGAATGAGGGTCTTCATTTTAAACCTTCCTTGATTTAAAAATCCGACTGCACTGCAAATTCTTGCCGTATTAAAATTGGACTTTTAAGCATTGCGTCTAGTTCAGATGAGATTGGTTTTCAGAAATGTGACCCTGCTCTATGGGGTGGTTCGAGATGCCCTCAGAGGGCTGCAGGGGCAATTAGAATAATCTTGAGTTGGCTTGCGTAAGGTGTCCTGAGCCAAACGGGTTTTCCTCGTCCCCTCCAGACGGTGTCGGGGGACGGGTTCGAGGTCCTGCGGAGAGTCTACGTGGATTTCGAGGGGATCAGCCTTCGTCGGAAGTTCCTGACCGGTCTGGAGCCGGAGTCCATCCACATGATGATCGGTAAGCAGCTCTTCGCCTGACCTTCGTCCGCGTCGCCTCCGTCTGGAATGAGCCGTGTTCCCCCTGGCTCCCGCCTCTCATCTTCCTCTCCTTTCCCCTTTCCTCCCTCGCTGCAGGCGCCCTGCAGATCGACAAGCTTGGCGTGCTGACGGAGCTGTCCGCTCTCCAGGGCAAGCTCTTCCCGGTGGGATTTCAGTGAGTGTCCGTGGGTCTCGCCTCTCTCTCGCGCCCCCTTCTCGTCGTCAGGTCTGCGCTCTCTCTCTCTCTCTCCCCCCTCACCTTCCTCCCCCTCCTCCTCTGCCTCCCAGGTGCACTCGGTGGTACTGGAGCACGGTGAACCCCAGGAGGCGCTGCAGGTACACCTGCCGGGTGAGGGAGGTGCGCCCCCCGGTGGTGGAGAAGCTGGTGGAGGAAACGCCAGACCAGGGGGATAACCGCACCATCGCGCACAGCCCCTGTCCCCCATCAGGTACCCCAGTTTCCTTGTCCTCATGCAACCCCTGTGTGCCCCAGCAGGTACCCCCGTTTCCTTGTCCTCATGCAGGGCCCCTGCCCCCCCTTGAGCAAATTTGGTGTTCTTATCCAGTAAGTACACCCACATTCTTTCTTACACAGCTTTATTCCACCCCACCCCCCACCTAGAAAAAAAGTACCCCAGATTCCCATTGTGGCAGAGCTGGGGGGCCCTCAGACCACCCCCCAGCCTTGATGGCGCCCCACTCTCGCCATGCCTGCTCGCGCCTTGGGAACGGGGAGCGGGTGTCCGGGAGAGGGGCCTGACTGGAGTCGGAGCTGTTTTTTCATTCTGTCTCTCCTTCGGCAGAGGAGGAGCCCCCCGAGACGGAAGCCGGCGCCTGCCCCCCTCCCGCTGAGGCCCCCGCCAGCGCCCCCACCCCGCTGTCCAAGCCGGAGCCCGGGGCCCGGCCAAAGGCCCCGAGCTACCCCCAGACCCGGAGACCAGCGGGGGGGCTCTCCAGGCCGCTGCCCTCCCCAGGTGAGCGCCGTGCGCCTGGCCGCCGAGAGTCGGGGTCCCCCTGCCACCCCAGGTGCATGGCAAGCTGTGGGGCTCTTCGTGAGGGTGGGGTGAGCTGTGCGTGGGGGGCTGTTATTGTGTTGGCCGCAGAGTACCCCGGCACACGCATGTGGCAAAGGTTGCGGTCGGGTAGCTGTACTGTAAGCGGAGAATATGGAAACGGGCAAATCCTGTTATACTCCTCTGGAAAGTATTCCTCCCACAGTCCCAAGACATGCTGGGAGGGTAATGGGCTCCAGGGAAATCTGGCCCTGGTGTGTGTGTGTGTGTGTGTCTGCCCTGGGGACTGGGGTGCCATCCAGGGTGCACCCTGCCTTGTGCCTGTGGCATGCTGGGATAGGCTCCGGCTGTCCTGTGACCCTGAGCTGGAAGGAGCAGCTAGAAGAGGGCTGGATTATGAAGTGTTTCTCGGTGGCGGTGCCGCAGTTCGCTGCCGGCTGCTTCCCCTCCTGACGGCTCTTGGTTGCTCTCTCTTGTCCAGGGAGCGCCCTGTCCAAATCTCACCACATCCTGACAATCAGCGACCTGGAGGAGACCCGACGCCCGCGCCGGCACAGCCCGCTGTCCCACGGCCCCGGCCCCCGCGCCCGCATCGCCTCCCCTCCGCTGGGGGTCCCCTCAGGACCAATAACGCTCAGAGCCGGGGGGTCCCTGCACCCCAAGCCCCCAGCGGGGGCCCTGCCGCTCTTCCCACTTGGTGCTACTGAAAACCTGCTGACCTCTGCCCCGCCCCGCCCTGGCAGCCGCACTACCTCGGCCAGGGGGGCTCCCTTGGCGGCGGGGGCCCCCACTTCTACCTCAGGACTCTTTCCGCCCTGGCAAGGCGGCGGCGCCGGCAGCCCGGCGTCTGGGTCGGGGCCCCCCGTCTCCCCGGGCGATCCGTTGTCCTTTCCCCCTCCCGCCCCGGCTTCCCAGCCGCTCCCCCGGCCCAAACTCGCCTTCGACGGGCAGTTCCTCCGCCAGCCGGACTCCGCAGAGGTGCCCCACGACTTCCTGGCCACCCCGGGCCCGGACCCGGACCAGGCGGGGGCGGCGGCCGCCAACGGCACGGCCTCCCCGTCGCTGGACTCCAGCCCAGGGAAGGGCGCCCACGTGGCGTCGGAGCCGGAGTTCCCCTACGCCCCCTTCGACGTGGACTCGGACGTGGCCATGGCGTCGGTGCTGAACGCCGAGCTGGAGTTCGACGAGAGCCTGCTGAACGAGGACATGGCGCTGCACTGCGGCGCCCAGATCGTGGTGGGCGAGGAGGAGCCCGCCGACGAGTTCAGGGAGGCGGCCGAGGAGACGGGCCGGCCCGCGGCGAAGCCCCTGTGCCGCCCCGCCGTGGAGGACTGGGCCAACACCTCCTCCGACGAGGACATGGACAACTACTTCGACTTCTCCCGCACCGTCGTGGCCGCCCGCGACCCGCCGGACGCCCCGGCTCCCTCCTCGGGCTCCGTCCCGCAGCTGGACGGGGTGGACGACGGCACCGAGAGCGACGCCAGCGTGACGACCAGCGACGGGCCGCAGAACTTGAAGAACGCCGGCCAGAACCAGGGCCAGGGCCAGGGCCAGGCGCCGGCGGCGGAGGAGGAGGCGGGGGCTCGCAGCAACGGCCTCTCGGATCCCAGCGCGGCGCCCCTGCTCCTGGACAGGAAGGCCAGCCTGTTGTGCCCCCAGCCTGCGGCGCCCGAGCAGGGGAGCTCGGCACCCCCAGAGGAAGCCGTGGCGACTGACCCTGGTGCTTTGAGACCTTTCGCCTGCGGGGTTGCGGCAACCCCCCTGGAGAGTCGCGCGCCGCTGGCAGGGAACGTCTCGTCTTCCGGATGCCAGTCCCTGGCTCTGGGGGACCCGACGGCGGAGCCGGGACTCTCCCTGGAGGAGCCTGCGCCCCCAGAGCTGTGCCCCCCACTGGTCAGCACCCTGCCATTTGTAGGCGGAGTGGCGGCCGCGTTGCCGCCAGGCGCCCAGGCTCTCGCCGAATCCCTCTGGCCGCCTGTCGGGGCTTCGGGAGAAGCGAAGTCCTTGGCGGAGAGCTACGGATCGGGGGCGGGCGGCGAGCCCGTCCCGGCGGAGGCCCCCAAGGAGGTTTTCCTGGACCCCAGCAGCGGTCACTTCGTCTCGGCGAAGGATGGCACCCTGGTGTACTTCGGCGGTGGCGGCGCGGCGGAGGGGGTCTCCGAGCAGCTCGCGGCGGGACAGCCGCTGCTCCCCTCCACCCCGTGCCTGAACGGCAGCCGCGAGGCCGGGGCCGACCCGTTCAAGGAGGGCTCCCCCCCCTTTGCCCAGCTCCTGAAATCCACTCCCCTTCCCGTCCCGCTGGCGGCGGCGGCGGACCCCCTGAAGCTGAGCCCCCCGGTCCAGATCACCACGCCCCCTTTCAAGCCCCTGCCGGTCCCCTACATCCGTGCCCCCCTGGACCCGGGCCTCGCCGCCCGGGTCGCGCCCGTGCTGCCCCCGATGGAGAGCTTCCGCACCCCGCTGCTCGCGGCCGGGGAGCAGAGTCGGCCCTTGTCCAGCCCAGGCCCGGCCTCCATCACGCACATAACTGTGGCCCCGGGGAGCACCCCGACTCTCCAGACAGGGGTGACCTACGTGTCCCCTTCCAGCTACGCTCCTCAGCCTGAGGGCCCTGGAGTTGCCCTGAGCCAGGCCGCGGGTGTGTCTCTGGGGTCCTACGGGCCCGTGTCCCTCCCGGTCTTTTCCCACTCGCTTCCACCTGGCTCCTCCGCGGTCTCCGTCATGCCTCCATCTTCCTCCTCCTCCTCCCTGTCCCTGCTGAGTCCCAGCCCCGAGCTCAGGGAAGGCCTGTGTTTCCAAAGAAGGGAGGCGGCCCTGTGCCAGCCCATCCGCCCCCACCCCCCCGCTGCCGCCGGGCCTCCCCTCGCCCCCCCCGCCTCCGCCCCCATCCTGATCAACGGGTACAGCTCTGCCGCCCTGCAGAAGGACCCCGCCGCCCCCCGGGGGCGCACCATCTCCATCAACTTCTCGGCCCCCCGGCCGGCGCTGGAGCAGCCCCAGCAGCACCTGGTCAGCCAGGGCCTGCCGGGCCACACGGTGCTGACCGTGCGCGAGGTGGGCGGCCCGAACGTGGACCCCACCCCGCAGGTGCTGCTGGTGAACCGGTACGGGCAGATCTTCGTCAAGAACCCGGAGAACAACACCTTCCAGCTGCCCACGTCCAGCTCCCCGCTCAGCTGCATCGGGCAGATCGCCAGCATCCTGCAGAGCAGCGCGCTGTCCTCCACCCTGGGCGGGGCCCCCGCCGGGGTCACCCACGCCACCTTCCAGACGCACGCCCCCCGCATGGTGACGCCGGTGCCCGCCGCCTCTCACGCCGCGCCCTCCCCGTACCCGCCGAGCGCCGCGGCCCGGGTCGTGGCTTACGCCAGCAACGGAGGCGTGAGCGCCGCCGACCTGCTGGTGGCCCGGGGCCTGGCGCTGCCCGCCGCGAGGGCGCTGGAGGAGAAGAAGCCCAAGAAGAGGAGGGCGCCGCCAGCCGCCAGGAGGCCGAAGCCGCTTCCCACCTCTTCCTCCTCCTCCTCCTCCTCGCCCTCTGCGGCCAACCCCCTCGATCCGCACGCTGCGGGTGTGCCCACCGTGGTGATCCGCACCCCGCAGCTCGGCGCCCGGAGCGGGGCGGCGCTGCCGGCCCACCCCAAAGCCATCTTCGGCCCCTCCAGGTCGGGCCCCCGCGTCCTCGTCCGGGCCGCGCACCCCAGGGGCCCCCCAGCCCTGGGCCGCAACCGCGTCCTGAGCTCTGTGGTGATGCCCCCCGGCCTGCTGATCGAGCCCCAGGCCCAGCCGGGGCCCGCGGCCCCCTCGCCCCGCTCCCAGGTCCGCGTCAAGCGGGTGTCCTCCCTCTCCGACCGGATTGCCGTCAAGAAATCCAAGGTGGACTTCGTGGCGCTGGAGCCGCCCTGCTCCCAGGAGGAGCTGCGCCGAGCACAGAGCTCAGCAGCCAGGTGAGGGGGGACCTGCTGCTGTTCACATCCTCTTTCCTGGCAGATACAAGACGAGTGATCTCTGCACTTCCTCTTCCTGTCCAGTTTTAACTGTGCTGTTCGTGTTCTCAGAGCATGGATATTTTAACAATATTAAAAGTATGTAACTTTGCGTGATAAGGGCTTCCTAGTTTTAAAATTATTGCATCGTTCTCGGCCTAGAAAAGTCCCTAACGGTTGGCCTTTGATCTGGACCTCATGATTTTTTTGTCAAGTCAGTTTTTCTGGCACCTCGTGTTTTGCAATTTCAGTTTTCTGTTCTTATTTATTATCTCTGGCAAAGGGCTGGCTTGTAACGCGAGTCCTGGTGAGGACTTGGGGGAAGTAGTTATTTGCCACATTCCCGAGGGGTTTTATTGCTGAGTTAGCTAGCCGGAGTTAGTTCATAGTAGCGATCCTGTTTCTCGGATTGCTTGAGGGCGCGGTCTGCGCTCCCTGGCCGAGATCAACCCCAGCCTGCTCGGATGACTCCCGATGACCTCGTTGTCATCCTCCGCTGCGCTGTAAGCAGGCAGTAGCGTGTCTGGGGTGAAGGGCAGCAGGCTTTAAGCAGGCCGGAAGATGATGTACAGGGCAGTGAATAGGTCAAGGGTTGTCGTCCGGCCAAATAGTGATGCAAGCAGGCCTGGGTTCCTTTCCAGGCTTCTCCCCAGGTTCGGGTCTGTGGTTTGAACCGCCCAGCGTCTTGCTGTGGGCAGAAGCTGGTTCCTGCATTCCTGTCACCCAGCCGTTATAATAATAATAATAATAATAATTGCTTCCACTTATATAGCGCTTTTCTGGACTCTCCACTCAAAGTGCTTTACAAGTAATGGGGATCCCCTCCACCACCACCGATGTGCAGCCCCACATGGTAATCAGATTTCCAGGGGACTGGTGGCACAGTGGGCCAGTGGCAGAGGCCCAGCATGCTCATAGGCTCGTAGTTACAGTACCAGGATCTGGGGGGAGGATGGGGATCGCTCCGGTAGGCGCTAGACTTTGAATCCCTGGAACTCAGAGCAGCGCATCGCCATCTTTATCTCCAGCAGGTCTGGGGGAGTCCGTATGAAAACTCCGACCGTGAAGGGGGTTCTGGATCTGGACAAGCCCAAGGAAGACCCGTACAGCGACTTGGAGAACAACAGGTGAGGTCTGAAGGAGCCTCTGCATGCTTGGTTTGGCTGCTGGCGAGTTAAATATAGACGGGACTTTCCCGGGAGGGCCTTCTTGAGTGCCGCTCACCGGGCATGGTGACTCTGCGCATCCCACAAGGCCTCGCAGGACACAAGCCCAGGCTCTCCTCCTGGAGCAGGAGAACTCGGAGCCCCTCCGTGACGAGAGCTCAGGCACACAATGTCTTGGGATTTCGAGAAGAATCGACCTCTTCTTGTTCCTGGAACACAGCAGTCATGTCTCAGGGCTGGGTGGGATGTTCTACAAGAGAAATCCAGCCTGTTTTTTTACTGCACACCCAGCTGGATAGAGGATTCCTCCCTTATTAGCTAGTCAGCGTTGCAGCTGTAAGCACTGGGTGTTACTACAGTCGCCACCCAGCTCCAACAACCCCCCCCGCTTTCTCATGTTCCAGGCTGGCCTCCTGGGATCAGCTGACGTCCGTGGCCGGGCGGGTGGGCGCCGATCCTCGCCCCGATAGGTCCCTGGCCTGCAGCAGCGTGGGGCGCAGTGCGCTGACGGACTGGAACAGATACTCAGGTACCCCGCTAGCTGTGTTGTGAGTGGGCATAGGAGTAGACTTCTTAGTCAAGCAAGCAGATGACCTTATTTCAGCTTGTCAGGGCTGTGCGTCATAGTCAGTTCTGTCCAGGGTGTTGTTAAAGATTATAATCCCTCTCTCCCTTATTCCTTATTCTTTACGTCCCTCTCCTTTCTTCCTCCTTCATGGTTTTCACTGCTCCCTCCCTCTGTCCTCCTCTGCTGCTGTCTCTCCCCTCCCCCCTCCTTCCTGTTGTCTCGCCCAGGCGTGGCGTCCAGCTCGGAGGACGAGCCCCCGCTGCCCGAGCCAGACGAGGAGACGCCCGTGAGCAGAGACCAGCCCCACCTGCTCTTTGAGATCCGCAGCGAGGACGGCTTCCACATCGAGGCCGACAGCATCGAGGGTAAGGCGCAGGCTCCCTGCTGTGTGCTCTGTGCTCTGGTGTGAGGCTGCTCCTCGCTGGGTACTGTGGTGGGTTGTGACCTCTCCCCCTGCTCTCCGCAGTGGCCTGGAAGGCAGTGATTGATGGAGTCCAGGAAGCCCGAGCCAGTGCCCGCCTGAAGCAGCTGTCCTTTGCAGGTGCGGACTCATGCCTTTTAAAGCTTATAATAAAAGTTAATGAGATAGTTAATTTGTGGTCCTTCTCCTTGTCTCTATTCCATCTGTCAGTGTGTGAGATGCAGGGAATTGGTCCTGCAGTGCTGTCAGTGAGAGCTGTGTCTCTCCTCCAGTGGA